ATGTATAAAGACCTCATATTAAATAATTAAATTAATTAATTAAATATTAAAACTTGTGTCACTCTTTTGTTATTTTTACTTTTATTTATTGCTTTATTGTTACTTCTATTATCATTACTTTTATGCATCTTTTCATGCTCTCATAAGTGTTACGCTCTCGGAGTGCATTAATGTAAGAAATATAATAAAGAAATGAAAGTCAGTTTTGACTGGACACTCTTAACCAAACGGACGTGTTTTTTATTTAAACTCGGTGTCTGACACTTGTTTAGGCTTTTATTGAATAGTTTCATCTAATTAACGTGTTTATGAGAAGTTTACTCTGTTTACAAACTAAAATCTGTGATCATCGCCGATTACTTCAATATAATGGATGAATTTCTCAAAGATCTGCTTGTATACTTGATATATGTACATGTCCTTTTCCCTACATTACAAATATCTATCTAAGTATGATCGTAATATAAACTTTGTTCGTAATATATCTTTGTTCGTAATATATTGATATAATACTTATCTAAATTTTGAAACTATACGAATTTAAAATTATTAGATATTTAGTTTATAAAAATATGTTAAATATATTGCATACAACTAGAATATCATAATATGTTATGTATATGTTATATCTATACAAGTAATGGATTATTTATCCACGAACTACATGTTTTTAAATTTTACCTTAGTTTAGATTTTATAACATCTAAACTATTCCATAATAAAAATAAATTACAATTAAAGTATAAAAAATATCACTATTATTATAGCTGTAGTTTCATAACACTATAGTAAACATTTAAAACGTGGTGACTCCTGCTTCAATCCATGAAGTAGTGACACTATAACTTGCGTTAATCAGATGTTAAACTCAAATGAACCGATAAGCCCAATTGAACAAGATGACGGAAAACTGATTACTGACAACTTTTTAAAGGCTCTCATGTTTAACACTGAATTCACTTTCAATAATAACAATTCACACCAGCAAATTTATGAATTTATATTTGAGTAGTCGTATACACTCCAAGCCATGAAGTCCTTACTCAACACCATTTAACATATATTTAGAGCACAATTTAATAAATAGTTTAGTACAAATTTAAATAACTAATTTTATAATAATATGGTGAAAGTGATACAATATATATAACATCGATGTCACATGTATATTAAATAGCATTTTCAAGACATGGGCAATTTAATTTCCGAAAACGCAATATGTGCAATATTCACAAATTTATAATTTATAAGCTCTAAAATGTATTTATGGAGCTCTTAATAATTAAAAATATAATTAAGAATAATATGCCAATTATTTAAATGTCAAATGCTTTATAATTCGTCTATTCAATTTCTATGGTCTTTATAAAGATCAATAAGAGATCAATAAAAACAAATTTAAGAGAAATTTAAAATAAGTTGAGAAATCAAATATTTATATAATGCTTTATAAAAAAAGTTCTTCCAGTTAAATAAAAAAGATAATAAGCCCAAAAATGAAGTTTTCTTATTAATTAACATTCAAAAACATTTTAAACTTATTTATTTAGTGAACTTACTTTAAAATAACAGTTCTATATTTTCTTAATATCTGAAGGATTGACTTATATACTTGTATATATAGAGTCTACTCTAAGATATTATTGTTTTATTATAACGTTTTCTACCACTGACAGTATATCTAGTAGTTTCTATTATTACTAGAAGTTCACAGAATTGTTGATGTTAAGAATTAATAAAAAGTAAGCAAAGGAGATAAAATATATACTGGAATTTACATTATCAGAAAAGCCAAAAACTTTAAAGTTTTGGTTTAAAATAAATTGTACTGAATATGCAATATCGTCATAATGATCCTACGTAATCTTTTATTCTTGCAAGGAATGTTTAGCAAGAAGTTGGTGCTCCTCGTTGATATTATTGTGTGTCTTAAACTTATATATGGTACTATAGTTGAACGGGCAACTCAGTCAATCACTACAACATTTAAAAATTCATCAGAATACAAATACAATAAATGTAGATTTAATGCTTCTGCGCATGGATTTCCATTGATTTCTACGCAGCACTGTAAGGCTAGAGGCAGCGGGAGGCTAGGCACAATACAAGTGCAAAAACGGTCAATTTATCGATGAAGTCCCGAGTTATCTTTATAGCTTTACACAAGTTCGTGAACGTAAATGATTCACAAATGACACCAAAGTTTTTTCAGACTAAAGTTATAACGATTTGAGAAACATGCCGGCTAATTGCAAACCACATCAAGAATAAATGTAACGTAACTATTTTGGTTGACAACCAAACCTCAAATAAAACAATTCAACCCTAAATAAACAAATCAGAACTAATACGAGAATATAGGTTTGAAATCCTATGGCTAAAGCGACTTCTTGACAACATTCTTATATGACTTCTTGCTCATAGGAATATTAAAGGGAATAAGAAAGTAGGTAGTTCAAACCGCCTTAAAGGTTCCATAGAGATCTTCTTATAGATATCTTAAATATCTTACAAAATGTTATGAAAGGCACACATATCCACTTATTATAGTTAGCTAATGATGAGAGAAACTCACTCACAGTACGTAAAACATCCTGATTGATATTGGTTTCTTACACTAAGACTAGTTTCGTGCAACTTATTAACAAAGACCGAGCACATTCTGCCAGGCTAATCACAGTTCTTTCAAATCACTGGTGTATTGGAAATGTACCAAGAAACGACTTCTCCCGTTCAATACTTATTGTAAATGTTGCAAAAACTTGCAAAAAAATAAATAATTGCACATTTTCTCTGTAATCGCACGCTTTGGCTAGCAGAAGGAACAAATTTTTAATGAAGTACTTTCTTGACAGTCTGTCAGACTTGAGAAACTTGATTCCATTGAAATATTTTTTATTCAGAAGTTGAAGGTGAAGAAGTTCCATATAATAATTCTAATTTACAATAGTACAATATTTAACTCAAACTTAAGTATTTTGCATGATACTTCATTCATGTGAATTATTTACAGGATATTTTTATAATTTACCATACAATAAAGACTAAAATCATCAAAGTCTTGATTGGTATTGTATTGATTACAAAGTATACCTATATTATGCCTCTCAATTCTTTAAGCACATTTTATAGCAACTTTTCTAACAGGGTTAAAGCTAAATATCGTTAAGATACTGAGTCGATACAGCAGAATTTCTTTTGCCACAACGTATTTATGCGATTATCATTTCACTGGTCTGGTCCAAATTTTTCTCTTATTATTCACAATATTGAAGTGATAACTGTCCCATAATACGATTTGTCAAAAAATTATTATCTTTCAGAAAAGGTTTTCTTCCAGCTACAAATTTAAAAATAATTTAGTACTAAAATACAACGCCATCACGTATATTTAATATAAAATTGGAACAATGAAAATACACAGTTTATTATAAACTTCGTTCCTTCCAATTTAGCTATACCGCTGTCATGAAAATGATTTCACTGTATCCAGGCAGCTTTTTCTCTGTGATTTGTTTCCTAAATGGTGTCTTTTCTATCCTCGTAACTAAAAATCGAGATCATAACCTATTTTAAAATTTAACTGCTGCAGGAAAAAGACAAATTCTGAACTCTAACGCTAGTTGAATTGTTTGATATTATTGATATTAGTTTCCGATCAATAATTATGTGCCTTTCAATTTAAAAAAGTTTATATAGAATTACTGTTATGGAATTTGGTATAACCAAGATGTTACGGAAATTATTCATTCAAGAAATGCATATAATTTACAAACAAAGAAACTGTGTTTTTTTATAATACACTTTTAATAAATTTCTTAAAATTTAACTTATTAATAAATATTATTTTTTATGAAATTGCTTTAAGGAAAAGATTCATACTTTAAATTCTTTTTAATGAATTGGTATAAAAAGAAACATACTTTTTGTGTATTTTTAGAAGCATACTTTTATGGGCATTAAAATATAATTTATTGGTCTATAATCTAAAAAACTCAAGCGAATCTAATAAGCCTAATAAGAAGCAAAACTAATATACTTAAAAATAATATATTATCCTGATATATCCTGATATATAATAGATCTGCTCTATTTAACTTTCAATTCGTTAAACTTGTGTTTTCAAATAAAGCTGTAGTTTATAATCACCATCCAAATAAAAAAAGTGACAAAAAATCTGAAACTTGAGAATTGAAAATTTGTAATTTGACAAGCACGAGTTCTAAGCCTGGCACTTGCAGTCCAAACAATTTATATACAAACTATGAACTATAAACATATTATATAGAAAGAACACTGATGAATACTTGGCAATACTCGAAACAGCGTTCTATGTTCAGCAAAATTTCAATCAATTAACTAAATTTTTGTTCTTGTTTTTTGTTTCTATTCGACCCTTTTTAAAATTTTTTACCTCAAAACAAGTACAATTTTTAATGTGATTACAAAAAATAATATATACATAGAATATAAGTAAATATTAAAATCTTTATAAAAACGATATTTTCTCTGCTTACAATACCAAGTTAATAGGGCAGTTCAATTTTGCAAGGTTAACGTTAAGAAACTTAGAAATACTGTTCAGATGTTTGTCTTATTTTGTCACCCAGTCGATTTTAATGGCAGTTACTAAGCTCTGAATCATGCCATTAAAATAGATTTGAACAAATTTTTAATATGAAGATTTACTTTTTAACAGTATATGTTAATAATAAAAAAAAACAAATTAATATTGCCCAACTATTTCAATATTCAATATTTTTAAGAATACTCTTATTTTTAAGTACAAGATACCATTTTTCTGTGCTTACCTCAAATATATCTTTCTTTTAGCAAAGATCAATTTTTACTATCATTTTTCTATGATATTTAATATTTTGTGTCTTTATTTATAATTTCGGTTTATTTTTTAAATACAAGCTTTACCTATTTGTAGGCTTATTGAACCATTGTAAAAATATCAAATAAGTATTTTCTTAATTTCATCCAAAACATTCTCTTCATCTTCCATATACTTGACGTAGAAGTGCGATGAGCGAATACGATTTCGTTATAATACCTGCAAAACTAGGAAGTGAAAGGTTCATAAATCCACCTGCAGTAAATACAAATGGTCTCTGAGCATTGGCCAGAAAAATAATAAGTGATTTTTGAAAACGTTGATCATATTTATACCAGCTTACACCATAACCGGAAGTTGACACCTCCTTACTCTATTTTGTAAGAAACAATTAAATTATTTCTATTATTATTAGAAATAAAACAGAATATTCCAACCTGTTCAAAAACATCATTGCCACACCAACAGTACAGAAATAATTCACACAATATACAACCACAATAAAAATAGGCTAATATTGTGATATTGGTATTTCCTGTACTGACTGTGGCCTGAAATCCGCTTAAAGCAAATATTGCAAACGAAGTTAAAAACTGGATCAATATTGGAAGGCGAAAAATGTCTTCTACTTCATGTCGTAATCTGTTAAAACTTTGTAATAAATGAAATAAAAATGAAAATTTCTTTTGCAAAACATTACTCAATTAAACTACAGTGGTGTGCTATTATTGACTTCAGATGTATATTTTGATCCAACGTCGGAATTCCAACAGACCCCTTTTGTCCCTCATTTATGAGTTCATTAAAGGATAAAATTAGTATTTTCAAATGTATACGTAACTGATTGATTAAAATTACACTTAGATAATCTGTCGCAACAACTTGAAGAGCAATAACTAAAACACTTAATCCCATATATAGAATCTGTATTTGTTGAGGCAAAAATGAGGGCAATTGCACACGATAAGGATAACGATATGCTACACTTTTTGGATCTATATCGAAAATAATTTAAAATAAATAATTAGCATAATTATTTAATATTTCTATTTGATTTGATTTGAAATATAACTTACCTCGTAATAACATAATCATAGCCAAAATTGCAGTGAACCCGAGTAAAAGAGCATAAATTGTAAGTGGAAGTTTATTTTCAAATTCACCGTTGAAAAAAGTTTGTTTCTAAATAGGAAAAATAAAAAAATTTTATATCAACATTTTGAAGCGCTTTAACGAACCTGGTCATTAGACCTCACGTATTCTTTTGTTAAAGCCCTTAATTTATTTATAACTTTCTGTATATCTGGTAAGCGATAAAATAAATTGTATATCTAAAATATATAATAATACAAAAATTAAAAATTTACATTAAATTTAAAATAACATAAAAAGATATTTTAAAACAGCATAACATATACCTTGATAACAACTGCAACATGTGATAATGATAAAGAAGAACACTGAATGACATCTTCCAAGTCCTTTGAAAATACAAGCTCTTGCAGTTCGAAAAGTGTGTAACACATAGTTATCAATATCACCGTTGGTATTCCATAAAAGGAGAAGAATATTTTCATAGCAAGAGATTCATTTCTCATACCAAATAATGGTAAACCAGCAGCTTGAGCTAAAAAAATATTCAAATCGATGGAACCAATTTGACCAAACGTTGGGTCCGATGGAAATATTCGTGTGAAAAATCTGCGTATATATAGCATTGTAATTCAGCAGCACAAACTTCAAACTGCGATAGTTTTCCAATTACGCATAGTTTTTATATCATGACATGACGGAATTATGGTATAATTAACAATTTATCACACATCCGTATTGAATGTTTTGTTGTAGTAAAAACCATAGCACCTAAATATTCAGCTTGTGTTGTTATATACTACAGAATATATGGCACGAGGAACGATTTTTTCGCATTTAACTATTCAATTTAAATAATTTGTTGAAATTTGATAGCATAAATTCATAAGGTTCGGACACGTGTTGAAAGGCTATAATTATGATTTTAATATTAAAAACCCAGAATATTTGTTTTCCAAATCAACATCAATTGTATTATGGCTAGATTATAATAATGCGAAGTAATTTTTACATGAATAGATATAGATTTTATTTTAAACAAATATTTTTAAATAAAAATAGTATATTTACACCACGATATATTTAAGAAATTATAATTAGTTATGTTGTTACAATATAGAATGTGTCGACATCTTGTGTCACAAGATGATGTTGATACCCATCTGACATTTCAGGCTACATATCATTTGGTGTAGTGTAAAAAGTATAAAAACTTATATTGACATTGTGGAATATCTGAATGAGTATGCTATGTGATACTTTATTACTCTACAGAAGTTGAACCTGTTACAAAACGTGCACTTTATGATAGTGTTGCTATGAGTGAATGCTGAACGCAGAATTATTTTGCTAGATACCGTTCTGGAAATTAAAATGACGAAGATGCGCCTTGCTCTAGTCGATTTGTTACTAAAAAAGATGTTAAAATTCTGCAGCTGGTGAAGTAAGACTGACCCGAAAGCTATCAGAGGATGACGAAGACACTAAATATCACCCACATTACAGTTTGAAATCATTTAAGAAGACTAACCTACGAATAGACGTACGATTTTATTTCATTGCTGAAACGCAAAGAAATCGAATGATTTTTGAGGCGAATCACTGAAGGCTATAAAAAATTGATTAAATTCGAGAATATCAAATGGAAGCAATTATTATTAAATGGCTGTGACCCTTCACAAACAACCTCAAAGACTAGATTGATTGAAAAATAAGTTTTGTTAGGAGTTGTAATGAACCTTTTCGCCGAGTTTTCGCCCGCCGGAACCCAGGGTCGTTATAAAAAAATTTATTCGTAACCCTGAATCTACTCGTAATGTAATAAATTTAAACCATGGGTTAATATTTACAATATATTACAATATACAATATATTTATAATCTACTTCCATAATTTTTAAAAAATTCCTGAAATAGGAAAACTCGATTATTATTAGGAAGGGTATCCAACGTTACCGACTGGCCTAAGCTGGTAAGCTGGGAATCAACGTTACCGACAAGACTACCTTGCTTGGAATCAGCGTTATCGACTGGGTTACGCAGGTAGGTTGAAAATCAACGTTACCGACAAGCTTACTTTGCTTGGAATCAGCGTTACCAACTGGGCTACGCTAGTAGGTTGAGAATCAACATTACCAACAAGGCTAAGTTGCTTAGGAATCAGCGTTACCGACTGAGCTACGCTGGAAGTTGGGAATCAACATTACCGACAAGGCTGCGTTATTCAAGAAGAATTTGGAAAGTTTGCATTATAGACAAATTCTTAAATGCTCATAACTGATGGTCTAGATATGTGACAATGGTAACACCTAATTTGCCTAATTTTTTCCTAAAATCCTACATTTACATTTACCTTTACCTTTACCCTACTCAAAATTCTACAACATTCCCTGCTATACCGACATAATTTACTATTCGCACACTGCCCTACTTTTATGTGCGTAATTAATTGCTTTTTTTAAATATTTCTATAAATATTTCTATAAATTATGAAAAAAATAATTGTTCAGTTAAATTTAATGCTTAGAGTGAATAAAACATAAAAAAAAATCTATTTAATGATATAATTTTCAAATTTAATTTAACTGAAAATAAAAATAATTTTTAAATACATTTTTGAAAAAAAATTCCTTTTAAGTTTCTTAAAAATTTATGTCTAAGTCATAGTAGTTCTTATCTTCCCCAAAAACTTTGTGGATAAATTTTTTCATAGACCGAATTTGAACCACACAAGCATTGTCACAATTTCATTACTCACCTCTTTTTGATTTAATATTTCACTTTTGTTTTTTAGAACAAAAAGTATGAATATGATAATTCCTTGCACCGCATTGCAGAGAGTTTAATATAAAAAAATACAGACGTGAAGTTCTCAGAGCCTACCACATATGATATAACTTCTAACATCCAATAATTCCCAAAACAATAGATTAACGTGGAAATAAGTTAACTCTGTAAAAGTAATAATAAAGTAAAAATCAATTCATCAATATTACGATTTTAAAGAAAGATTGTAATGAATATTATTCATAATTTTGATTCAAATATTTCAAGTAGATATATAGTAAGATGTTATTACTTCTGCTTAGAAGCCCGTATACCATATTAAAATTGCGAACTTTATAATTGCAATTGAATTTTACGCTCAAAATTACTTGCTTAAGTGAACTGTACCTTTGAAAATAAGGATAACTAGAACTAATTTTGACACAAAGTTAGTTCTAAACTGTACTTTATAGTTCTTTTTTGAATATAGCCTAATATTTCTTCATTATCAAATTTATTTCTATTCTAACGAAAATATCATCATGAATATTATGTGTTGATTAAATGCTTTATGTGATATCAGCGTTTTTTTTTTTGGTAAATTAGGCTTCCTTACACTTTGTAAAACATAGTGGTTTTAATTAAAACAGAATTTAAGTTAATTTCTAACATTTATAGATTAATATATCACTACAGTAGCTAGAGTGCAAATAGAACTCTCAAAGGACTTAAAAAATCAGTAACAGTTTTTTTTTGTTTCCTATTTCCAGTCCTTAACAAGTAACATATATAAGGTATACATCACAAAAAAGGCTTTCATTTTCTGTATAAAAAATATAGAAAATTATAAGAAATTTTATTTCTCATATAGAAACTGAATTAAAGATTACAGAAAATGAAAAATATTCAAAACAAATCATATTGAATATTATATGTCAGCTTATTATATGTTGTCTGTGCAGTTTTGAAATTATTTTTTAATTAAAAATAAAATAAAATAAACAAGGCAGTTTTCTATTCTCGGAAATAGAAAAAGGAGGACAGGGTAGTACTTCTTAAATATAATATTGTTCAACAGTTATGCTTTGCTCTATAACATTATTGAAAGTAACATTCACATTAAACAATAGTTTCATCATATACTCTATTCCGGTTTCACAGTCTCCGGAGTCGTCTATTTTAATATGCGTTGGGTCACAACAAAATTAAATACAGGCTATCAGTTTACATATACAACCGCGTATATGCTTCCCCACAGTCACATTAAAACCTTTATAGGTCTGCTAATACTCATATTCGCCGACGAGATCAGTTGGTATAATTACTCCACCATACAAAAAAGAACCGTCGGTGAGGCGTAATTTTCCAGTTATGTTGACAGTATCGTGAACTCACAATTTGGTATTTGTGCCAAAATTGAAGGCAATAAAAAAATTAAGAACACGTAGCATAATATTGGAGCACTATTCAAATAGAATGGAGTGCATTCCATTTTGTGTTGAGTTTACTTAATTAATAAAGCAATTAATAAATCAATTTAAAAGAGATTGTAGCGATTGTTTTACTCCTTTAAATATTTTGAATGTAGAACATCTTACGGTAATAAATCAAGGACAATTCACATCACAAACTTCTACAAAGCTTTTTATTCGTTTTTTATTTTTGAAAAAATCATATATAAAATTTAACGTCTCAGAACATAGTTAACAGTGCAATTATATATGTACTTCACGATTTATATATATCGAAATTAAGTAAAATACTAAAATTTTCAACAACTCTTACTAATAGCACATAATGTACTGAAGTAATTTCATTTATTTAATAAGTAAATTTTATTTTATAGATTTATTTTACTACAGTGCTGCGTATTTCTACAATTTTTTATTATTTTATTTTTTAAATTGTGGTCACCAACTCAACACATTGAAACTTTATAATTTTAATTTATATGACAAATTCCATACCATACACTTCACTTTATATTAAAAAAACAATATCAAAAGTGACATCTACAATATAAACTACGAAATAAAAATAAATTATTTATTTAAAACAATTATTTGTTTTATATAAAAGTGTGCTAAAACAATTATGGACCTATGGCACTCAACTAGGGACAACAGCCTCATCATCCAACATCAAAATTATGCAAGGATTTCAGTCTAAAACTCTAAGAAAAAGTGTAAAGGCTCAATGAGTTATAATCTACATCCAAATCCATGGCCTCCTCCTTAGGTGTTTAATGGCCTCAAAAATATGCTCTCAAACCCTATCACACTTTTCTAGTTTTATTCAATATTATTGATATTTTATCTCAGATTAAAACTAGAAGGCGGTTAAAAGAATTTGAAACAAAGTCTAACATTATAATGGTACTTAATAAATAATGTTTTGATAACCACCAAATAATTTATTTTTTGAAAGGCTTCAAAGAGTTTCAAACCTATCATAAATAATAAATAGAACGTGACTGAGAAACATTTCCTTCCTTTTCCTTCTTCTATGCCCCATTCCATTCAACAACTATCAAACATCCTTAGTATAAGTATATGTATTCTATTTAATGTATTCTATAAAAATATAGTATAAATTTGTAAAATTTTTTTACTTACATAAATACTCAAATACTCATTATATGAATGTATACAGAAAAATATTCCGTAAAAACATTTCAAACTTCACTCCCATTGAAATGTTTTACTCACACACACACATGTTAGCACAAATGACTTCTCTGATTTTAGTCGAAAAATTAATCACTTGCTTACGCACCAGAAATTATATATTATAAATTATATAGCACAATTATTACGAGTACATATTTCTAAAAAGATTTCAAAAACAACGCATATCTCTGTGAAGACTGAAACAAACAGCTTAAACCGAAAGCCCACAGAATATCTAATTCGTGATTAGTGATTAGAAAACACAGATTTTAGTTAATTTCCAGAAATCTTAAACAAATGGATTTATGGTACTTTTAATGTTCCTATGCTAAATTTTGAAGTTTTTGAAATTTTGAAGTGATAACTAAAATAAAATACTAAAATACTAAATAAAATATACTAAAATAAAATACTTAAATATTTTTTTTATATATATTATTTTTAATCAAAGTCAATATTTTTTGATTTATCTATTATCCACACCAATTTTTTAGCAATTGTTTAATTTAAATAAACGAGTTTTTTCATATAATTTTCTTATTATTTTCTCAATTTTAATTTTAAATATAATAAAATGCCATCAAAATTAAAAAACGATACATAAAGTACCTATTTTGGAAGACACTTTTTAGCTTCTCCGATATTATAACTTTCTGATTGACTGCATTTAGATATTTTTTTGATAGCCAACAAATCAATAAAGAAAATAAATATCACGCTTCATTAAGATTTTACTCACTTCTTGAAACGAACAATCATCTACTCTTGTTCTAGTATTTCAAGAGAAAACATAATATATATTCAATGCTTAAATTAATAAAAAACATTACTTTGTATATTTTAATAACTTTATTTATAAAAATTCTCGTCATTTAATTAAAAACAACAAACGGAGGAATTATTAACATTATATAATAATGCAGTATTAGTTAATAAAATTATTTTATGAATTATTGCTTATAGCTTGATTAATAAAAGGAGCAACTTTAGCAACACTTGTGTATACACCAGGATAATTAGGACGAGCGCAACCGAATCCCCATGACACAATACCAGCAAGCTCATTATTCAATACAGCTGGACCACCACCATCACCTTCACAAGCATCAGCATTTGGTCCTTTAGCACAGAACATTGTTGCCGTTAACTCATATGATTGCAAGCAATCCTCCTTTGAAATCGCGGCAACAAGCACAGATTGCAGAGCATTAGAATTTTCACCATTTTCACTTAATCTTCCCCATCCCAAGACTTTTAAATTTGCACCAACGGGAACTCCACTTGTACGTAAATTTATAGTGCCGATATTTGTACCAGTTAATTCATTTCCCAATCTCAGTACAACAACATCATAGTCCAAGGTTACGTTGTCATAGTTTGCAGGATATATGATGCGGTCGATCTTACGCCTGACACCGGGATTTGAGAACATTTGAGCACCACCTTGTACTGTCAGTTGATTAGCTTTATATGGCTTAATGCAGCTAGCAGCGGAGACAACAAAACGTGGATCAACCAAAGATCCTCCACACACCAACTTTCCTCCATTGTCACGTATATTTACAACAAAAGGATTTTGAGCTATTGGTGTTGTTCCACCACCAACTATTCTGGCTTGTCCACGTACAGCTTCGAGACAAGTAAGAACCAAAAGCGCTACGTGTAAAATATTGTTATAAGACATATTCCTGACTTGCTGAATTGGCAATGTTTAAACTGAAATATTTCAATTTTAGTCTTACCTTTTATAGTTTATTTATTCTGAGTTCGGGACTGAAAAGTTATCCAAAATTACAGAATCTAACAATTGAATAAACAAAATAATAAATAAATAAATACTGAAATCTGTAAGAAGTGGAATTTCCATTTATATCCAAAATTGTTGTAATTCTGTTTCTAACTCATATTATTTACTTTTATTTAGAAAAGTAAATAAAGTAGCATTAAATTATATACTCACAATCCCATGCACGTGTGTCAGTATGTCAGTATGTTGTGTATAACAGGTGTTACAATATTTATAAAAGTGAATTAAATAATTATATATATAAATGTATTATATAAAATAAATTATTAAATGTGTATTAAACTGAATTATTTATTTTATGTTAACAAGAGTAAACCAGATCAGTGATTAAGATTTCGATCAAACTTTTACTTCAATGTATTGTTACCACCTTCCTATTCCCACCTTTAAGCAACCAGAGATAACTGGGAGATCGGATCTGTAACAGGTCCGCAGTTACTATATACGCAGATGGCTCAAAGTTGGAGGGCGGAACGGGAGCAAGTAGCTTCTCGAAATATATGCAGATAAGGCAGTCCTACCGACTCCCTGATACTTGTAGCGTCTTTCAGGCCGATATATCTCTTCTGCTCAAAAAGTACTCGGATTTTGTAAATAAAACACACAAATTTAAATTTTATTCCAAATTTATTTTATCTCCTTCAAAATATGCTCCTTTTGAAGCGATACACATATGCCAACGCTTAACCCAATCTTCCATACACTTTTCGTAGGCCCGTGAAGGTATGGCTTTTGGTTCCTTCAGCGAATTCTCTTTTATCGATTCAATTCGTGCGACAGAAAAAAGTCGCACGAATCCAGATCTGGCGAATATGGTGCCTGAGCGATGACAGTGGTCCCGTGTTTGGTCATAAAATCGCGTACAACAAGAATTTTCCATAGTAAAAATCGCTAAATGCACTTGAGATAGTCTCACATTAACAGCTGCTGTAAACAAACTAATTGACAGATGGCGCTCAAATTTGTACCATATATCAAGAAAGGATGTTCCAACATAACAAAAAATTTTTGAAAAAGATCTATTACTTAAGGAGTAGTTAACAAACAACAAAATCCTGATACTTTTTGAGCAGAAGGTATTAATAGTTTTGTTTTATTACTTTTTCAATTTGTTCAGAATTGTTGGATATTTAGAGTACACTTTTAGAATATTTCAGACACTATACCTTTTATTTTTTTCTTGACACTATCCCTTTTATCCTTTAGATTTTTTTCATAGCATTTTTAATAAATACATTTTCTAAGTAACTTTAGGTTGAGTACTGGAGTCACTATTTTGCACAGAGTATAATTATGTTTTCAGACTCAATAACTTGTGATTCGAGAACATGTTTGTTTATTGATATTTAAAAAAAAATTTTTAGTAAAAATTAAATTAGTAACAATTTAATATTTAATTGTGTGCATATGTTATTGTTTATAAAAATAGAAAAATATTTTTATTTTTACTTATAATTTATTTTAATTATTTATTTTATCTTATTTTATTTATAATTTATTTTTATTGTTTTGAGTTTATTGTTTTTTTTTTTTTTTGGATTAATTTTTTTTTTATTTTTCTTAGTGAAATAATTGTTTATCAATCTGCATTTAAAAATAGTTCAATTTTCTATGCTAGAATTCTTTAAACGAAGTTCGCTTTACCACTTTAGCAGCTAAAGATGCAACAATAACGAAAATTTAAACTTTCCGGTCACATTTAATACAGATATTTACGTGGAAAGTGTTCAAGCTCGCTTATACAAAATCTCGTAGTCTAATCGGCTCCTAATTTCTTTACTTTTACTCCACTTAAAAAAAATGCAGCTTAGAAAACGAGGACAAATTTCTGTGTGATTACTGATTGTTTAAATTAAAATCTCGCAAACTTCTATACATATTAGGCAAAAAGCAGTAAAGATATATTAGTTGTTTTCAAATTCATTAAACTGAAGGTAGAAAATATCTATTGAAAATGCAGGATTTCAAGTCAAATCAGTAACGCACTGTTTAGAAGCTTCAGTCCATCAAGTGGCTTTAGTCATCTATTGCCACTTAAAAAGAGTTAGTTTCGATAAATAGCACAAATTTCTTAATCCTTCAGTTAGATTCAACTATTGCAAGATATACAATATATTAGTTTTTTTTTTTGTTTTTAATTGGTTTTATTATTTAAGATATTAAAAACAATAAATAAAACAAAACAAGACATAAAGTAACTAGTTATTAGATAACTAACAAACAATTTAAATTTAATCAGATCTAGGCGATTCCACGCAATAATAAATCAACTATAGTATATAATATTTCAATAATTTAAGTCCAAAGATCGCAAGGCTTTTGGCGCTTTAGACGACGTATTGGCTCAGTTGTCGCGAATAATGCGCCTAAGCATTTATGTGGCAACTACCATAAGTCTATCTTGGTATTATTTGACTTTGGTATGAATTTCTTCCTGCACTGTTGACACTCCGAGGTCACGATGTAAGTCAGAATTTCTCATGTTTATGACGCGTTTGTTACAGTCCATGGCAAAAAATTTTGGAATCTTGAATGATGGAAATTTGTGTTCTACTTGCGCAACCTCACAGCTGAATTCCATATGTCCAGAAGTAATTTTAATATTTACCTATGTTATTTACTACATAATTTTACTTTTTATTCATACTTGTATGAATTTAAATTAAATTAAATCAGCAATTATGTACAAGCATTCAACTGGTGTTGTTTTTTATTAATTTTTCTGTGATCACATTCCGATAATCGTATTTATTACAAATTTGGTGATGTTATTACAATTCTGTTTACTTACTTTTATTACTGATTGTTTATAATAAGAAGTACATTACATATAACCTTTGTCTAATACAATTATGTTTTATAGGTATGGCTTATATTGTAACACAAATAATAATTAATAACATTTTTTAAAACAGTACAAATTCTTGTAAAATAACATATATTGCTAAGATTCTTTATAATGTAATGCATTTATAAAATGCATATCGATTCAAATACAAAGCAAATCTGAACAGGAAATATATATTTAGATTTTCAGTTAAAAAATTATATATAACTGCATATAATACTACAAAAAAAATTTTTTTTTAACGCAAACTAATTTTTATTTATATGTACACTAAATGCATACTTTTGGTGGAAACTTAGTTATCACAAGAGACCGGCGTTACTACTGAAATATTCAAAGTTTTCCAAAAGTATTAAATATTCAATTTATGTTAATAAAATTTTTTAGAGCTTAAATAATCAATTAATGTCTAGTCGATTAATCACAAAATAGGATAGTGAATATTGGGATTTATGTTTGTAGTTGAGAAAGTGTACATATAGCAACTAAAAATTGGAATTAACTCTTGGGAGTGTCATTTGTCTGCGACCTTGAGGTGCTCTTCTCCGATTTGCTTTTTTTGTTTGTTAAATAAAAGGCAAGCTCCTTTGTTGGATTTATTCTGAAATATATTCATTTAAAAAATTTTATTGTAGTAATATTCCAAATATTTTTTTTAAATTAACAATAAATTTGTTGAAACACATATTAATAATATTTTATTACAAGACATATATACATATGTATTAAATAGCAAGTAAGAGTATTTATTACATCACTAAATAAGTCTCCGATCTTGCTGATATATAGCAATACTGTTGACAGACTCATATGATTTGTGAAGAGTAACGTTTTTAAATGACGTATGTTAAGATTTAATGACATTCTGATAGCTACTTTCCGGATTACCATATGATTGCCGATAATTGAACCTTTTTTGAGAGCAAAGCCAAACTTTTCCACCAAACAAGCATCGACAGTTTAAAGAAAAAAATAATGTACCTATTACTCTTAAGTGAGACTATTTTTGCGAATAACGTCAAATATTTTAATTAGTATTTTGTTTTTATCTCAACTAAATCAAAGACTTATTAAGTGATGTGATAATTAGTATTTTAGTGTTTGAGAAGAAATTAGATTGCACATAGCTAAAATTATAAAAACCATTTTTTCAGAAATATATATACAAACCATTAACAATGAAATGCATTCGTCAGAAGATATTATGATTGAAATTTTATAGATTTCTGTATGTAATATTAGATTTAGAAACATTAAAATTTTGTGTCAGTAAATTTCAGTGGAATCTTTAATAAGATATAAGTAAACTCTGCACCAATAAAGTTATACCAATTATTTAAACCAACACCAATTAACAATCCATTTTTTTTGATTTTTAAAAATTCTTCAAACTGTTTACCTAATTCAGAATTTTTTCCATCTGTTGCAAAATTTTGCAAGGATATTTCTTCCGGCGCACACTCTGATTGAGTTGAACTCGAAAAACTTTGTTCATTATGTGAAATTCTTTTCAAATTCAATTTACGGACATTAATATATTTTTTTAAGGTTTGATTAAATGTTTTTATTCAAGGACTTACCTTTTTTTAATAAGTTTTATGACTTTTTGTTTGAGTACAAAAAGTATAAATATTACAATTCCCTGTGCCGCAATGCAAAAGTCCGGTATATAAAAAAAGACTGCCCAAATGTTAAAAGGTCCTACGATATACGACAAAACGTCCAACATCCAGATAATACCCATTACAATGAATAAACGTAGAAATAAACCAAAGCTAAAAACAATATAAAAAAAACAAAAAAACATTTATAATTTATATAACTGCACACTATTGCAATTAGAAAAAAAACGGACCGACTAAACGAACATCGTTTCGCCAACCAATAAAGTCTTTTGCCTTATATTTTACATTATTTAAGAAACACTTACACTTATAAGTCAATTGAAATTAAATAGATTGTGAAGATTAGTGTTAAAAAATATAGATTATTGTATTTCTGAAGAAATATGTCCTAAATATATTTTGCAACCGGTTCTCCAATGAGTTTTATGAATTGCTCTTCGAAAATTGTTCTAGTTCCGTTGCAGTTCCAGTATTTAGATGCAATATATGAGACAGTAGTCTTAATCAATTCAACAAATTCAAAAATTTGGTGGGAAATGAATGTTATCAATCGTTGATTACATTAACGGATATAAATAAAAACATTTCATTGCTGATCGTGCCATAGGTTTGAATATTCATGACATCTATATGAACAAGCAATGTAGCCTTTTCGATTAAGCTATGGGGCACTATGTAATAGTCCTTACATTTGAGGAACAAATTGGCAACTGAAGTATATTTTTATTGTGAGTGTTTTGAAAAATCTTGGAAGCCATAACTATCGATAGTATGATTTGATAGACACAATTGTGGTGCCAATTTCGAAAAATCGAGTAAAGATTGTGCTGCCAATAAAAGCAAAGAAACGCTAATACGTCTAAAGATGTCAGGATTCTTTAAAACTCTTTATTATATAATTTAAGGCTTATAATGAACATTTCTATTGTACATTCGTCCCAAATGATTATGATCTATATAGAGTTTTTGTTATTCGGAAATGTTGTATAATACTACAAATATCATTTTAATTAGTTTGAATGTTGAAAATCGAATGCACAGTTTTACTACCATCCAGTAAAATAGTGGTTATTCCTGATTATGCTATATCCAATACAATATTAATTAGAATGACAAAAAGAAACAATATTTTTAGAAATAACAGTTGATCAAAACTTATTGTAAAAATCTTACATTGTAGAAATAGCAACTAAGAACTGAAGCAGGGGCTTGTGATCTATCTTTCATGCAGAAATTTATACGATGTACAGTTTTGTTTCGATAGAATTAAACTTAAAACAACTATCGGAATTATGAAATAGCTCTTTCTCCGTCATACAAAATAATGTTCATAGTTTCATAAACTTTAACATGATATTGTAATAAGGAACATATTAGGTGTAACGGTATGAATTGAGCGTAAAGATACAAATGATCCGACAGGGAACATTTGTTGTGAACGAGCCTTTATTTCTTTTTGTTTGTTTGCTATGACATGTGTGAAATATATTTAGTATACATCAAGTCATTGAACAGACAACATCATATTTTTTCATCGTGTTAAAAATTTCGAATTTTGTACCAGAAAGTGATGATTTGCGGAAAGCATTAATTTTTTGTTTTCATTTGAAGAAAAGTGGTGCAAAGTCGCATCGAATGCTTGTCGAGGCATATGGTGATCATGCTCTATCAGAAGCAAGATGCAAAAGATGGTTTCAACGGTTCAGAAATAATGATTTTGATGTGAGAAATGAAGAACGTGGAAGACCGCGAAAAAAGTTTGAAGTCGCCGAATTGCAAACGATATTGGATGGAGATAACACTTTGGGTCAAAAGCAAATGGCAGAAATGTTAAATGTTGCACAACAAACAATTTCTGACCGTTTAAAAGCTGTAAGAAAGATCCAAAAGTGTGTAAAATGGGTGCCATATGAATTGAATGAAAGACAGATGGAAAACCGAAAAAACACTTGTGAAATTTTGCTTCAAAGACACGAAAGAAAATCGGTTTTGCATCGGATTGTTACTGGCGATGAAAAATGGATTTATTTTAAGAATCCTAAACGGAAAAAATAATGGGTTAATCCGGGACAACCATCAACATGGACTGCAAAACCATGTTGATCGATTCGGCAAGAAGACAATGCTGTGTGTTTGGTGGGAGCAGAAAGGTGTGGTGTACCACGTGCTCCTAAAACCTGGTGAAACCGTCAATGCTGGTCGCTATGAACAACAAATGATAAATTTGAACCATGCATTGATCGAGAAACGACCAGAATGGGCCAGAAGACACGGCAAGGTAATTCTGCTCCATGACAATGCACCTGCACACAAAGCAAAACGGGTTCAGGATGCAATCAAAACACTTGGCTGGGAGCTGCTACACCACCCGCCGTATTCACCAGGCTTGGCTCCTTCCGACTACCATTTGTTTTCATCGATGGGACACGCATTGGCTGAGCAGCACTTTGATTCCTACGAGGAGCTCGAAAATTGGGTGTCTGGTTGGTTTGCTTTAAAAGACGAACAATTTTTTTGGCGTGGTATCCACAAATTGCCAGAAAGGTGGTCAAAATGTGTAGAAAGCAATGGCCAATACTTTGAATAAAATGTTTTTTACTTTCCTATTAATAATTAGTGTTTTTGTTTTCACCAAAAAACGCTCATTTCATACCGGTACACCTGGTAAACATTTTTAATTTAATGGTTTTCATAAACATACTTCTCCTTTTGCGATTGTAGATACTTTTCACTGTTTTCATTATGTGCAAAATGTTTTAATCCCTTTTTAACATTATAAATATTAATTGATATCAGTGAAAACATAATTATATTGAAGAATATTAGTAGCATCATCGGCCCATAAAAGTATATCATAGCTGACCAATCGTCGTCTACAAATACATAAAAAATTTTAATATATAAATAATAATTTACTTTACTTTACATACGTTTAACCCAGCAAAACTGATCACCAATCCCAGGCTTTAAACTATAATCAAAATCAGAATATTGTGCCTTAAGAGTTAACAACGTTAGAGCTCCAGCCATGCCCCAAGCATAAAGAGAATAAACAGTAAAGCGTTTGTTTTTAATATAACGATTTACATTACAGTTGATAAGTCGAAAATTATGCCAAAGATCAATACTTATCACATTTAACCATAAATATGCAGCCATAAAGGAGAAATAACCCGTAAATCCTAAAAAAGATATATTAATTCTGTTAGTAAAATAAATTATTGGCTTTAATTCTTAAATTGAATTGTGATACATTATTTACTCACCCAAAAAAGTACATTTGAAATCACTATAAGATGTGCTGTAAAAGTTGTTCATTACCAAGTGACTATATCCAGATGTTAAAGAAATTAAGTAGCATATTAGGCATTTCCCATGCAAATTCCTTAACTTCGGTAGGCATGCATACACCAAAATTGTCAACACAAAAAAAGGTATGGATATTAGCATTGCTGTAATTATTTGTATTCTTATTTTTAAGTATATAGATACCAATATAAAATTCTTGAATTATTGGTAATAAATTCATTTATTCGTACCTACCTACACTGTCGACGAATAGATTATCTGGCTCTACAACAGCATTTGGACAATTCATTGGAGTGAATGAGTACACATCACTTTTGTTATGTGGTGCTAAGCAGTAATCACGTCTTGACAGAATAGCATTGTCATATAAGCGCTTCATCGTGCCGTTCTTTTATTAAGATTTATGCATGTAATTATTTTGATCTTATATTTAGTGCATATTATATAAATAGGTATATATCATTATCCAAAATAGATTTCGTAGCCACATAAGCATATTATTATTTTTAAAAACTAAAACTCAAAAAGCAATAAATAAAGTTCACTCAACAGGATATTAGGGCATTACAGGGTTGTGCAAATCTTAACTGACTTGAAAAGACAGCTACACTAAAAATACTTAAAATGCTTATCTTATGGTATCTGACAATATGGGTTATAAGTTTATATTCTCCAAACAATTAAAAGTGGACTTTCGTGACTTCGCTGTCTGAAGAAGTGCGGATGTAAGCTTTCAACTTAATGCTATATGCTATATTGAACTACGCTAATTAGACTGGTCAAAATGAAGGATAGCATACCAAGTACTATTAGGAATAGGGATTAGAATATTTCTGAGATAAAGCATGCCTATCATAAAAGGTAACTAAATTCCGGCAGGCGTTGGAAGATGTGGTCACAATGATCCTGTGAACCCCTGTGACAAGTCGAGTAATCGCCGTCCTTATTTATAAGAGCACTAAGGCACCACTGTTAGAAGAATGAAATGAGGTTGCAAGTCAATGATTAGGCATTAGAACCGAGACCGGTAAAGTTCCAGATCATGGAATACCAGAAAATATGTGGAGTGAAATCTTGCATAAATGGGTCTCAGAAGAAGTAGCAATTTCTGTTGAAAATGAAAACTTAACAAGTCTCACATAGCGCTCAATGTGCAGAAATGGATGCACTAAGGAGGAACTCTGTGATCGAGAAGTTCCAACCACAATCAGTTGCATCAAGCAGTTGTGCGGCAGAAAGCACACTAATTATGATAGTCACACTACCAAACATTGGAGTACTTGGAACCGCTCCCATTAAAAATTCTGCTGTCATCACAACCAAGCTAGACTCATACTGGCTAAATGAACCCGTCAAACCAAACCGATACGCAGATCTCCAGGAAGATGACTCTGAAGAAACTGAAGAATCGTTAAAAAATAATGATACGGTTCCAAAATTAATGAAACCTCCACCTATATTTATTGATAAGGTACATTGTATCAAGCCTCTAATAGATGTGTTAAACGAACATGCGGCAAATCAATTCGACTTAAAAGTGCTAAATCCAAGTCAAGTAAGAGTTCAACCTTCTACATCTGACTCTTACGTAAGCATTGTAAAGCAGTTGGAGTTAAAAAACACTGAATTCTACACTTACAAACCAAAAACAGAGAGAAGCTTTAGGGTTATATTGAAAAATTTGCATCATTCAACCGATATTGATGAAATCAAAAATGCACTTCTGGAGCATGAACATACGGCTGTAAACGTTTGGAACATTAAACGTAGAGGGTCAGGTGAACCTCTCCCCATGTTTATTATTGAACTTGCACCAAACCTAAATAATAAGGATATTTATTTGGTTAAGAAACTCTTGTATACTACAGTTACATTTGAACCACCTCACCCGAAACGTGAAATCCCTCAATGTGCAAACTGCCAACAGTATGGGCACACAAAAGGATACTGTCACCGCAAACCTAAATGCATCAAGTGCGCTGGAAATCATGCTTCTGTAAATTGCGAAAGGAAAAGCAGATCCAATGATGTCAAATGTGTTCTATGTGAAGGAAATCATCCGGCCAACTACAAAGGATGTCAAATATACAAAAACCTGCAAAAAAAAATGTATCCCCAACTAAGACCTAGGGCGCCGGAAGTACAAATTCAAGAAAATCCTCTTCCTTCGCTAAACAAAAAACACATCACGACTTCTCATTCACCTGAAACATTCGCACAAATAGTGAAGTCAAACACCAGTAGCGAAACAGAGGAGAAGCTTTCACCAATTCCAAATAATTTTGTGGAAGAATTCCGTGAGATGACATCACTGTTGAAGCAAATGATGCAACAAATCGTAGTAATGACAAATTTACTGATCAACTTGACGACTAAACAAAATTCTTGATTTAGTAGTAGTCATATGGAACGCTAATGGTCTATCAAAACATGCTATCGAAATAAAAGCATTTTTAAAATTAAACCAGGTCGACATAATGCTAGTATCAGAAACCCATTTCACGACGCGTAGTTTCTTTAAAATTCCGAACTACGAACTTTATCACACAATGCATCCCAGTGGTAAAGGAAATGGTGGCTCTGCGGTTCTCATAAGGAACTCGATAAAACATTATGAAGCAAAACCATATTGCAAGAATGAAATCCAGGCAACAAACATTGTAGTACAAACTAAAGAAGGCGACATGACTTTCTCATCACTCTACAGCCCACCGCGCCACAGTATCACGAAAGATATGTACATATCATTTTTTTCAGCTGCTTGGATCTAGGTTCCTAGTAGGCGGAGATTTTAATGCTAAACACTTAAAATGGGGTTCCCGCCTAATATCTCCAAAAGGACGTCAACTCTTCGAAGCAATAAATGTACTCAACCTCCACACAATCTCAACAGGTGAACCCACATATTGGCCAACGGATAGAAGAAAATTACCTGACTTAATTGATTTTGCGGTATCAAAGGGGGTACGTATCGAAACAACTACCTGTAAGTCCAATTTCGACTTGTCATCTGACCACTCGCCAATAATAATCACTCTCAATGACTGCTGTGAAATTATGGAAAAATGTATTCTTCATAATAAAAACACTGACTGGAATAGTTACCGTCAACTAATTTCAATTGGTCTAAATACCGAAGTCAGGTTAAAAACTGAATCTGACGTAACTGAAGCAGTAGAGCATTTCAACTCTTGTGTCCAAATGTCTGCATGGGAATCAACTCCACCAGTTTCTAAAAGTGTTAAGCAAGATTATCCATTTAACATTAGATACCTGATTAAAGAAAAGCGTAGGATGAGAAAACATTGGCAACAGTTGAGATTCCCTGCGGATAAAACTCGCTTAAACAAACTGTGTAAACTCGTTAAAGCCCTTCTTTTAAAGTATAACAATAATCGCACGTCGCTATACCTTCAAAACCTAAGTGCTTCATGTGATACAAAATATTCCCTTTGGAAAGCCATAAAAAAGAACAACAGACCGATTGTCTATCAACCACCTATACGCAAAATCGACAACTCATGGGCAAAAAGCGATATTGAAAAAGCAGAAACATTTGCGTTACATTTGGACCAGGTCTTTAAATCAAATGATAACCAAAATATGCCTGATGTCATGAATCAAAGGATTAATTTTCTACAAGAGCCTTATCAATTGGAACTTTCAATTAAAAGATATACTATTAATGAAGTTAGAGATGTAATAACAAAGTTAAAAGTAAAAAAAGCTCCAGGATACGATTTAATCACAGGCATGGCCTTGCAGCAGCTCCCACCAAAAGGATTTGTATTTCTCACTCATCTATTTAACGCTGTGATAATAAGGGGGTTTATTCCGCCACAGTGGAAGATAGCACAAATCTCCATGATACCGAAACCAGGGAAAAGCCCAGAAGACGTCAAATCATATCGGCCAATAAGTCTACTTCCGATCCTGTCAAAAGTTATGGAAATCCTGTTTCTAAAGCGCCTTACTCCGTTTATCCAACAAAACAGACTCATACCTGACCATCAATTCGGCTTTCGCCAAAAACATAGCACAATAGAACAAATTCATAGACTTGTCAGACATATCCATAATGCGATAGATGGTAAAAAATATTGCACTGCGGCATTTATAGATATTTCACAAGCTTTTGATCGAGTATGGCATGAGGGCCTCCTGTTCAAACTAAAACTGTATCTACCTCTAAATTTTTTCATATTTATAAAATCATACCTCTCGGCTAGGCACTTTTTCATTAAGCATGGAAATGAAACTACAGTACTTCATGATATAGAAGCAGGAGTACCTCAAGGTAGCATAATGGGACCAATGCTTTATCTTTTATTTACTGCGGATCTTCCCCTTACCGATGAGAGTGTTATCGGTACATTTGCAGACGACACAGCTATTTTATCAGTTGACAGTGACCCAATCCGTGCTTCCACCAAACTTCAAACCTGCCTTGATAATGTTGCTCTCTGGATGATAAACTGGCGTATTAAACCGAATGAATCAAAATCTGTCCAGGTAACATTCACTACAAAACGTTCTACGTGCCCGCCGGTCTTAATAAACAATACTCAATTACCACAAGCTTTAGAAACAAAATACTTGGGCATACATCTGGATAGTAAGCTAACCTGGAAATCGCACATATTCAAAAAGCGTAAAGCCTTGGGTCTTAAATTACGAAACTTATTTTGGTTCCTCAGCCGAAATTCCAAACTGTCACTCGACAATAAGCTGCTTATATACAAATCTGTACTTAAACCTATATGGAGTTATGGGGCCCAATTATGGGGTACTGCAGCAGACTTAAACCTGGCAATTATACAGCGCTTCCAATCTAAAACACTACGAATGATCACAAACGCACCTTGGTATATAACGAATGAACAGCTACATAAACAATTACATGTTCGAACAATCAAGGAAGAAATAGCAAGTATTTTAAAGAATTACGCTCAACGCTTATATATGCACCCAAACCCTCTGGTTACTCAACTGATGTCCCCTTCCAATACCTTTACAAGGCTGAGAAGAAAAACATCGCGAGACATTTTAAATATGTATATGTAGACAATACACTTTTATTTTAAATATATATGGATATGTCACTGGGCATAGTCCACACGTGCCTTTCTTTTTATATCGTAATAACCATTATTACGATTTAAATTTATATATATGTATTACTTATTGTCATTCATTCCTGACAGATTGTAATAAATAAATGGATTTTAAAAAAAAAAAAAAAAAAAAAAAAAAAAATCACAGCACGGCGAGATAAAAAAACCGCAAAGCACACTGATATTACCAGCAGTGATTATAAATAAGTCCGTACTTATTTAAATGAGTACTTATTTTAGATTTTATTTTATATAACTTTAATAATTTATAAAAATACAAAATCAGATTTGTAATTATAATACTTATTACATAAAAAAAACAAAACCAATCTTTTGCCTGCAACAACCTTTTAAAAAAAGCACCAAAAAGCAGTTTATGTTAGTTTGCTCTGCTTGAAAATAAAGAGCTTGACTATTTATATAGTAAATAAATATGGTAAATACATCATAAATAATATAAAACCAATACATTACGTACCTCATATAATTTCCATTCATCGTCGGGATCGTCTGGTATTAACTTGTAAGCATTATGACATGGTATTCCTACTACAATAGAAAATTCTTCTAAAACAGGTATACTCTTTTCCGTACCATTATTAAAAGTAATATTCACGTAAGGTGACAGTTCAAGTTCATTCTCTATTCCGGTCTCACATTCTCTTAGGTCCTTTATTTTTGTTTGTGGTGGATGACAACAAAATTTAACACAAGTTCTTAGTTTACAGATGCAACCACGTATATGCTTCTCTACAGGCAATTCATGACCCTTATACAGCACCTCAATACTATATTCACCAATGAGTTCAGGTGGTATAATTACTCCATCATGCAAATAGGAACCGTTGGCGAAACGAAAACTTCCAGTTATGTTGACAGTATCGTGGAACTCACAATTTGGTATTTGTGCCAAAATTGAAGGCAATAAAAGAATTAAGAATACGCAGGCGAATATTAAAAGTTTATTTAAGTAGAATGAAATTCGCTCCATTTTGTGTTGAGTTTATGACTTAATGAAAATAAATTAATAAAGCAATTAATAAATCAATTTAAAAGAGATTTTAGCTATTTTTTCACTTATTTAAAAATTTAGAATGTAGAACTGCTTAGAGTAGTATAGGACGTCGATTCACATGACATATTTCTATAAGTCTAGATGGAATTCTAAAGAGATTTTCACGATTGTTTCACTTATTTAAAAATTTTGAATGTAGAACTGCTTAAAGTAGTATAGGACGTCGATTCACATAACATATTTCTATAAGTCTAGATGGAATTCTAAAGAGATTTTCGCGATTGTTTCACTTATTTAAAAATTTTGAATGTAGAACTGCTTAGAGTAGTATAGGACGTCGATTCACATGACATATTTCTATAAGTCTAGATGGAATTTTTCTTTTATTTCGTATTAATACTTCGTATTAATAATTAAATTGAATCTATACACAATGATTAATGTATAATAAAATTAAATAAAATATCGAATTTCTCGACAATTTTAACCGGCAATACGTTACGTATTGAAGCAATTCCACTTATAAAATAAATTAAATTTATTTTTGAAGAATTATTTTGCTGCAGCACAAAATTTCTACAACTTTTTTATAATAAGTATATATAATATATTATAATAATACATATGTATACATATATATATTATAAATATTTTTATTTTTAAATTCTGGTCATCAACTCAATACATAAAGAGTAAAATAGTAAATTTGTATGACAAACTTCGTTCCACTGCCACACACATCGCTTTATGTTTAAAAAATTATCAAAAAGTATCCATGAATACAGCAATATAAGCAACCAAAAAAAAAATTATTTCTTTAAAAGGAATGCTAATTTAATGTATATTAGCTTTAGTTATGTATTTATTCATATCAAAATAACATAACATTAATTCTGCAAATATTCAAACCTTTCTTACGAATAAACTTAAACATATTTTACTATATTTTATTTAGTATCTAAATGGTTTTATATGGTTCAAGAGCTAGCAACAAAGATTAGGATATAGATTGTTTTCGCATTTTTGTTTGTTTGGACAGAAATTTAACAAACATATTACTATAGCTTTACAGAAAATATAATTAGTATAATTATTAAAGAAAATAACTTTTAAAATTAAAACAAATCTTATGTGCAGTATGAAGAATCTTCTCCATAACGAAATAATTGAAATCCTATTAACGAAGTTTCTTATAAAGTAACACGTCTTTGAATGCTCTAGTAAGGAATTTAAGATCTGGCATAACTTATGATCTGGCAAGCTTGTGTAGGAATGTACATTAACTTCATTCATACGCTTCGAATGTTTATACGGTTTATTTACTTGCCATATTGTATCTGTACTAAAAAATATAATATAATTTAAGCGACAATATCGGATATAAGCGATATATAAAATGACTCGAATCATTTTGCAATGTCCAAAAAAGGTTCATACTATTCGAATATTTTACGGTACATTCACTTGTGTAACTGCATCTGTACTAAAAAACATCGAATGTAAGTAATTTAAAATAGTTCGAGTTAAACACACCAAAATGTTGATAATTTCTTTAATCTAAATAAATATAAACTCAAATAAAACACTGATTTCTTAACTGAATATGCGTCTATTATTTATTATCTCTTAAAATAGTTACATTTTAAAGACACCAACATCAACAAATTCGATGTAATGCAGAGTGACGCTTTCTCTCCTCTTACGTACTCGTAAGATGGGCGAGCATTGACACGAAAAACGAGCAGATCTGAGATACATTTTTAATTTTGTTAATTGAGTTAATTAGTCCAGATTAACGTAGAAAACTTTATCAAAGGATAGTGTACCACTCTTCCTACTATTAATACGAAGGACTTTTTCTTGCCATCGCACACCACCAAGAACTCTTAACGTTCCGTTTAAATGAGTTAAAACTTCCAAATATATTTGAAAGAATTTGTAATTTTGTCTTTAACACGTTGAAGACCGCGTTGAAAAATCTTATTTCACACATAGGGACCGGCATTTTTTTGATTGTTAATTACGTATATTGATTTGATATAAAAAAAATCGTTTTAAAATGAGACTATGTCAAATTAACTAAGTCCGCTATATGCCCACCGGTGTACAAGTAGTCCCCAGGTGAAACATGTCGTATGTCCAGTCGTGAGCATGAGAGCTGGTAATGTTGTTGCCTCAAACTGATGACTTTTAACTTTTTGGTTTGGTAGGCAATAGATAGAGGTTATGCAAATTGAACCTTTATTCTTTTTGACTATTATTGCTATTGACTGAAGAAATGGTTTTTCGAGTTTGATGCGCACAAAATTAACAATATCGCAGTAGACTGTTGCACTTTAAAATAATCTTATTTGTATCAGAAGGATTCAAACCAATGAAAAACAACGGCAGTGAGGTTTTAGTTGATCACTGACATATATTGCTTATTTTGGTCACCTTGAAACCAAAGCTCTTTATCGTCTCTTCGATTTCATCGACTGGCATTGGAGGATGCATGCCTGTCAAAACTACGTTAAAACTGCTATCTTGTTTAAGTTTATAAATATGGAACTCGGTTTTTTTGACTTTAAGAGCCTTGGTGATAGCAGAATATTTTTTTGAGTTATTGGGCTGTATTTTGACCTTATTTGATATTTGAAACTTACACTGTGACAATAACACAGTTACAATTTCTTACTTTCATTGAAAAAAAAGTATATACTGCCTCTAACAGCTGTTTAAATTCTAAATAACTGCACTATAAATTCACTATATCCGATATTTATATATGGAACCAATGTAAAAATGGATTACATATTCAAAAATGCGAAAATATTACATACGAATTAAAGAGACACTCTACAAATTTTGTTTATTTTGATACACTTAAATTCTTAAATTAAAAAGATTGGTCAATACAATATATTGCACAAGTTTGCTGAATAAATGTTTTGAGAATCATTACCGTTTCCTTATCTTGTATATATGTATATGTATGCATATTATATATATATGTTATATGTTTAAATTTCGGCAGGCTTTAGGTCGTGTTTTTAAATTTATATTTATATTTGTATGAATGAATCATATTACAAAGAAAACAAATTTTAGATTGAATAAAAAATATCACAGTTGTTAACTTATATAATATATTTTATAAACAAATATTTCGAACTCTTCGGTGACCATCTTCAGTATTATTACTAAAGATCACATATATTTTATACTATAATTTCAATTACATTAAATATGTAGTTATACATTTCAAATGTGAACAATTTTTTAAAATAAATATTATTTTATACGAATACATATAAATATAATATGTAAATTATTTTAAAGTTTAGTCACATTTGAATGTATTACTCATAGAAGCATAAATAAAGTAACGGATATCAGCCGAAAAGTTAATTTTAATTCCCATTTATATTTAGTATAGATAAACACATCTTTGAAGTAAATAAAAGTTATCATACCACAACTCTGTTTCAGCATTAACACAATAAAACAACACAATCCGGACTTCAACAACATAATAATCTTGAGCAAGTGCTATGCTTTTAAAAGTTTATGCATTTAGGCACAAATTAAAAAAAAACAATTATTAAAAAAGGAAATACAGAAAATATATCCAAAAATTACTTAATCGTTCTGGTATAAAAAGATACGAAAAATATATAATTTTTTAACAGTCCGTAAATATGTAAATAACTATAAATTATTCTAAATACTGCTACGAAAAAGGCTATATGAATTTCACAAATTTCAAATTCTTCTTGTTGAGTTGAAATAAGCTTGTTTATATTCTTAGACTATTCAGATAAGATGTTTTCTTTAGACATGAACGATCTAATAGAATAGCTTAAAAATAACTTGACAACACTGCCTACATCAGTAAACATTATTATGTTGAATCTTTTCCGAGTTAGTCCATCTGAGCACTTTTACTCTTTGATAACTGGGGGGTTTCTGCAGAGTCCCACCCAAATTTGTGTATTCCTCATAAGCTTCGTGATTATTCAATGACTGATCTAAGATCTACGTACCGCCCCGTCCGGTTAATGATTACTCCGAGATTAAATAGTGCTAAGTAGGGCAGCCTCTTGATTTTCGCATATAGCTTCACGGCTATATTACCAGATCTGTTTTAAGGTCTCTTAGCATGTCATTGGTCCGGATGTAGCATGGTACTTTGAAGAGTCCGGAAAGCCTGACTTTGAGCAACTTGTAGCTTCGACTCACACATTTGTTATTATATCTGATTATACGATTTTAAGGGATGACTAGAGTTTTGCAACATATTTCCAGTGAACATAAACTGAACTTAACTTAGACTAAAATTAAAGACGTTTAAGTAGTAAACGTCTTAAGTTACTAAACCTAACTCTGAAGATTTTAAAAACATTGTTGTGACTTCACATGTTTTCTTTCGTATGTTGCTAGTATTTTTTGCTACTAAAAAAAAAATTAAAATAAATTGTTATAATATTTTATATGTAACAAATAAATTAAATGATTAAAATAAAAGTTTTTAATTATATATTTAAAATATTCTTTATGAAATTCAATTGAATACATTATAAAAATTCAAATTTTTTAATTTAAATAAAATTAACTAATTTGCAATTCTCTTCATTTGTTTGTTTTGCTTCTTATTTTCGTACTTATCGCAATTTAAAAATGCAAATGCTGCCAAAGCTCAATAAAACAAATTTGAATTTTTTGTTGTTCCCACAACATCAGTCTCTCAAACAATTCAGAATAGGGGGAATTCTATTCTAGAGAGAAGTGAATTTTGGGAGAAACTTTTACCCTGGAAATATTCAGAATAGCGGGGATTATGTGATTATGGTTACAAATGCACAAATCTTGTTAAATGTTTACATACATTTTATGTTCTTTTAAATACAATTTCTTTAATATAAACTATAAATATTAATATAAGTTATTTAAAATGTGCATTATTTATTTAGTAATATGTAATAAAATAAAATAAACATTACACACA